AAAAAAAAAAAAAAAAAAAAAAAAAAAAAAAAAAAAAAAAAAAAAAAAAAAAAAAAAAAAAAAAAAAAAAAAAAAAAAAAAAAAAAATTGAATTCCGCAAATCTTATGGACGTAGTTGTAGGTCCTTCTAATTTAATTGATTCGCAAAGAGTTATTTTTAGCATCAATAGGTTTACATGATTGACTTCCTTTCAACAAGGTAAGGCACAGGTGACCAAAATAATTAAAAGCGACAATGGGCGAAAAACTTTCTGCAAGCATGCAGGCAGCGAATCAGTTCCCTGAGCACTTTTGGAAAATGTAACGAGTGTTGCCGTTTCCCTTGTTCGAAGGGGCGCTAAAGAGAAAATATAAACCAGATCCAGCGTGGAGCAGGGACTTCATAAGCGATGGATACGCACACATATTTAGTTTTATTCAAAGATTACAACACATTCCTCTACACTTAAAAGTAAAAACGCCGTATGAACATTCAGACGTTACCATGTTATCAAATGTAGCCTGATAAAATGATAATTTTCGTTGAATATTTTTCTTTTAACTTTTCAGAGAATACTCCACGCAGTTTGGTGTAGAGTATCTTAGAATCTCAAGGGAAAAACACAGACATTCCCTCGACATAAATATTTTTGTGATGAAGTTTGGTAATATTTGATCGTTCATACTGCGTTTCTCTTTCGTGTGGAGCATTCTGCCGTGCTAAGGAAAAACTCCGTATGAACATCCGAGAGTTGCCAAATTTCCCCTTTTCAAATTTTAATTTCTGAGACAAATAATGAATGTTTCTTCTACACGAAACTTTCTGATTATTTAGATAACATTGCGAAGAAAATTCTCTAGAAAATTGGGCGGAAAATGTACACAAGTTTTTCTGAAAATCCGTTTTTTACTGAAAGAAACTTGGCAACCCACGAAGGTTCATGCGGCGTTCTTCCTTAGCACGGCAGCATTTTAGTCCGTATTTAGACTCAGCCTTTGATGTCAGAGGCGAATCCAGGAATTTGGCAACACTGTGTTCTCTCCCTTTAAACCTATGGTAAAATATCGTCGTTGGAGAACCAGGTCCCGCTAAAAATAAATTTTTCCCATACGTTTAAATTGAGAGGAAACAGGACTGACATCTTGCTAGATCCACCGATTCAGTGGACGATCCTCAGAACATCACCACATAGTATTTTTTCCTGCAGTCTACCGCTATCAGTGGTATCAAGAGCGATTTTGCAAATTGGCAAAATTGTATTTTTTCCATTTAAATCCATTAAAAATATCGATTTTAGGTGTCAACCAAGAATCGATTGCTTTACATACATTTAAATGGAAGTAAATCAGTGTTGCCAACTGTAAAGGATCGCCTTTATGTGGTATGTCAAAGCAACTTTGTTTTCCTGCGTGTGTCTTGTGGTCCATAATTGGACGTATTTCTATCAAACGGAACTATGTGCATTATATGATGTGAGCCCTGTTATGGACATATGCTTATGGGTATCAGGGCTCATGTCTTAATGCACATAGTTCCGTTTGGTAGAAGTACGTCCATTTCGTGATCTATGTACTGTATGGCCTATGAATCTAGGAGCAAGAATTTCAAACTTACCAAACTGTCTCTCTTCTTCGTGTGATTAGGGGTGGAATGATGTTGGATTCCACGGCTCGAACCAGATTCCAACACCGAATATCGATGCTTTAGCTTACAATGGTATCGTTCTTGACCGGCATTACACCCAGCCCTGTTGTACTCCATCTAGGGCAGCTTTGCTCACAGGAAAATACCCCATCCGAATAGGTAAGTTCTTTTTTAATAAAGTTGGTTGTAAGGAAAAGGGCAACAGTAAAAGTAGAACGCAAGCCATAACTAGAAATATTCTCGGAAACGTAGTCACTTGCTTGAATGCGGTATGGGAATTTATCAGTCCATCATCTGCAAAATTAGAGTTAAAATTTTAAGAGCGACACAAATTTTCTCCATCAGCGTTTGTCAAATCCTGTCATGTACCTACGTTTTTATCCTTGTAATTCATACTCAAATCATGGATTGTTACAATTTCTGGACAAAATCGTGATTGTGCGGTTTTCAACTTAAATTTCGCTGATGATAAGCTGATTATCTCAGACTACAATATAGATACCTCAATGTTCCCATTGATCAGAATCAGGCCATACCTATAGAATAGATACTCTTGTTGAAAGTGTAAATGTATCGTTTGTTTTGACGAACACAAAAAGTTCGGAAAATAATTCTATCTCTATTCTCCATGGCATGCAGACCATGGCTTCCTAAGTGTGTTAGATGCAGAGATCCACATTTTTCAACAGTGTAAAGGCTGCCAGTTCTTAAGGAAATTCAATCAAGAGGAATACACATAGGAAAGAAAACAGAAAAAGAAGAATTTTGAGAATTTGATAGCAAAAAGAATTAGAAAAGCTAACCATGAGAAGGAGCTAGTGAATGAAAAATGGACGGTGGAAGCTATCACGTCGTTTAACAAATCAAAGAACTAGATAAGCGATATGTGAAAGAAAAATAAATGAACTTGATGAAAAAATTATAGCACCACAGTCAGCTCAAATAGCCATACAGATCCTTATCTCCAAATTAAAACTCGACAAATAAGAACTAATGAAGAATAAGAAATTGGAATCACAACCAATCCATGAAGAAAACAAGTTGGATTTTGCAATCGCTAGCGATAGCAATATTCGTCATGGGAACGTTAGCTTCTGGGATATGAAAATGTTAAGGTACAGTTCGTTTGTAGTATCTTCTGAATTGAAGGGGCTATGTAATTTTGTGTTGACATCTCTTTTTTAACATTTTTAATTATTTTCTTTGCATACAAGAAAGCTGTT